ACGTGAAATCAAAAAATAGGAGAACTTTGATTCCACCATTTCGAAGTGAATTTCGGGAGGAAAAAGGTTACCTGAAGTAATACGTATGCTTAGAATTTCATTCAATTTTCGTGTAACTCCCTTACTAGTTTTATAACTAATCTACAAAAATAAAAACATCCTAGGTTTTAGCAATTAGTTTTATAATAAAATTTAATTACTAATCCTTTGCAATCAAATTACAATACAAAATAAAATCATCTTAAGTTTTAGTAATTTAATTATTAATCTTTGTCAAACAGAGGAGTCTATAATACAAAATGAAATTATCCTAGTAGTTTTAGTAATTTGCTATTTAAGTCTGCTAAGTCTAATGAGTCTAAGGATGTGACTGGAAGAAACAAAAAAAAAAAAAAAAAAAAAAAAATAAATAAATCAGCCATGCAAAAGGATCTGATGCCTGATGCTTGGTTCAGTTACGTAGAAATTTATCCAACGTACCGGTACTCCCGCTGGTAAAAAACGTTCAAGAGAAGCGAGGGGAATGATGAAACAGTCGCGGTCCAAAGTGGCCAGAGAGATTGGTTCGCCGCGCGGAGGGCTGTTTCCGGAAACCACCAGGGGCGTGTACGCGCCGGACGCACGGTTACCGCTGAAGGAAACCTATGAACGTCATACAATTCGGGATAATTAACTTTGGTGACCTGGCACAGACTCGTATACATACATACAACCGAGCGAATTGGCCCGGTTCTCGTTACATACTTTGAATTTCAGAGCCTTCGCGTTTAAAATAGGGCTTCTTGTTTTGAAGTTCGCGCCATTTTCTACCATGGAACAGATGGAACGTGGGCATCCGATCGTTTGATCAAGAGATTTCCATCTTTATTATGAAAGGGAAATGATGGAAAGAAAATCTATGCTCAACCGGAAAAAAATCCTTATTGGCATTCTTAATTAATTTAAATGAAACAACGATCTTATTTTTCAATCCTTTTAGAACTTGTTTCTAAAATAAAACAAAGAAAATACACATCTTTCTCAGCAATTTATTTATTATTTCAATCGCAGCATCTAATGTGGAAGATGTAGTTGTTCGGCGAAAGTAAATTTGATCCCGAAAGGCTGGTTCAATCAAACATTCTTAATATTAAATAAAACTAAGTTCCATCGAATTCTCTTCTGTTTTCATCCTCTTTAATCTATTTCACTATCGATGAGATCCAATTAAACATCAGAGGTCTTCTGCTTTCTAAATTTACCAAACCCGTGTGACATTCTACCGTAAAATCTATCGTTACTTGTGAAAATTAGCTGTCTCTATAATTTTAAACAATCATGTGCAATTAAAAATTAAAAAAATGAGTAAAGTGAGATCGACCAGTTTCCGAGGAGCTCGACCATCAAATTCGAGACATGATGAATATTATTTTCAAAAATGTCTGCAACAGCCAAACCTAGTTTCTGCGCAGAAATTTCACACGAAACGAAAAATTCTTCTCTTTTGATACATGGAATAATAAACGTTTCGAATCGTGCCTCCATGCGAACTAATAGAAGCAATAGAAGTAATCCTGCATTGGTGATTGAATTTATTTCACAACAATGAAGCACGCAGCCGAAGCGCAGGATGTATAATTAAAGTTCAAGATCGAGGCCCCCGGGGTATTGATCGAAGTACAGCCGAAGACTACAAATTTTCTTTCGTCCGAGCCGAGGAGCTACGAGGTAAGAAAGCAATTTTGTGCTTTTTTCGGGATTCCCACTGTTCCCATTGATTCTAGAGGACTTTCCCAATGTATGTATTGATGGGATCGTTGCAGCTAAGAATCTTCATTACTGTTTTCTCTTGGAAACTTCCAAATAATTCAAGGTATTTAAACTTGAACTAATAATAAATAATTAAATTGCGAATTAATATTGCATCGAAATATTTTTAGTCGTAAGTAATTAAGTACGCATAGTGTAAATAATAATATGAAATAATTATTTAGTTTAACACTGATTGAAGTGGTATTCGAAATATTTGATTTTACAAGTGTTTTAATTATATATTTTTTTGAGAATGAATTTGAAGTAAATATTTTTCTCGCTACATACGCGCAAAATATTTATTACAATTTTAATGATGTTTAAAAGAATAGGATGTATCTTTAACAATGTTCAACAAACACTATATCGTACGAAGACTGTTCTCTAAATTGCACCAGTTCAATTTAATTTCGCAGCGTCAACCACGTCGGTACTGTCTATCTGATTTTTCGTTTGAAATTTGTACATTACTCTGAAGCAAATAATCGAAATATTATAATTCTCGTCCTTCTAAAATAGTAAGATGAGCAGAATAAAATGTTATTTCCAATAATTATCCTCAATACTTATTAAATCTTTATAACATCAATTAATAATTCCCATTCGTACGTTTCAAATAAATATTTTCAATATATGCTGTTGTGTACATCTGTCAAGTAAAATTAATTAACGCTATCTTATTTCAATGAAAAATGCGCGAATTATTATTTTTTACTTGAATCCAATACTTATTTAGTATAGCATTAACTCACAGTATATACAAAATACATACGAGGATACACGAAATAGAAATGAAACTCGAAACGGGAACAAGTTACGAAACATTTCATTCAACGAACCGATCTGCCGATTTGCCAAGTAAATTCCCACCGAGACATGAAAACCACTTTGTCTCTCCCACGTTTCGCGTACTTTGCGTTTCGAAAGGAGAGACCACCCATTGCGCACGTGCATTTACATTTGCGGGAGAGCCAAATGGAGTTCGAATGCAACGTCAGTATCCGTACTGGTTGTACGCGCATTGACTTCACGATCACGATCCCCTCGAAGATGTTGTAAAAGTCTAGCTGACGAATGGTGAGCCGCTTTACGCTTCCACGGGGGTGGAAGCCTGCAGCCGGGAATTTCGAAATTTTCCCCGTAGCATGGTCGTAAAACTTTAACCCCTCGTTCTTCCTTCCACTATCGAAGTGAAAATCAATCGCAATACACTCTTAAGTAAAACGTGTAACTTGTTGAAATTTTTCTTTCTTTTTTTTTTCTTAATTTAACACTCGTCGTCGATGATATTTGTATGTTTTTTCATAAGGTTTCCTCGCTCGTGTGGATTTTTCGAATTGTTGGTGAAAGGTTGATTGTTTCATCGAAGCTTGATGTTATCGATTACAGACCACGTTGAAGAGGAAGAAATTTGCTACGCACGTTCAATGTTCAGGAAGATTTTTAACAGAAGCACCGATAGAAGAAATTCCGAAATTATAAGAATTCGAAATTTAACGATCAGCCTCGAAATCCAAAAATCTGTTAAGGTTCTTCATCTGCTTTCTTTCAATTGATACGTTTAAAAAAAATTGTTCAAATGATTCGATTTCGTCCAAATGCTGATTACAGAGAATATCCCATATTCGAAGATATTTTCGAACTGGAAAATCGTAGTTGATAAAAAACGTACGCTTCTTTCAACTCTCGTGAAAGTTACATGTCATAAAAGATATCATAAAAATTATATGTTCGTATATTTATAGTTGCACTTCGTCAATGATTTTATTAATAAAAATGCAACGTTCGAAAAAGGAACGTACTTCGTCAAGTCAACAAAATCTCTGTTACACTAAAATCATTCAACCGTAACATTCGGAAATTTATAATAGCAAGCATAATTCCTCGTGAAATTATAATCTGCTTTTACTATTATTATTGTTTTCTCAGTTAAATGCCAAAATGAAGACACTTGATGCCTTTTTCTCAGTAACGAATGAAGTTAGAATAATAGTTGACCGTGAAACTGAAATACGTACGAGAAACTTTCAACACTTGAGAAAGTGTTATTAATTCAAATTACAAAACTCTGACTTTACTTGAGCCTAATATATCAAATGTATTAAAAATATATTTCAAAATATATTTTTTAAATATATGTACAATATATATGTACCATTAACAAACACACATATATACCAGACGCGTGTATTAACACATGTGTACAATACTTGATTTTAGTTGTCCAAAAATATTATAAATAAATAAATAAATGAAAATACTTGTTAACAACCGTATCAAAATATCCTACCTATAAGTCACCATAATTTAAACGATAATTACAATAAAAAAAAAATATAATTTAAACGATATTAAAATAAAAAATTAAAATAAATCTATAAATAGATTTATATACTCGTGTTTCTGTCCAAACAGAAATTAATATTAATTTTGACAAGAACAGCCGTACCTTTCAAGTAATTCAAACGATAGTCTGGAATCAATCGCATCGATCAGGGTTGTCGATTATTATAGTATATTGATAAAATTGCAATAATTAAATTAATACAGTATAATAACAAAAACTGCGCAATTTTTATTTACAAAGCATACATAAAAATAATATTTCCTACACGCGACGCGTCATTTCAAATATCCCGCCGGGAAAGTGTTTAAGAACATTTCAAAGAGAGCCTTTAATTCCATTTGAGATTCCGTTTCACGTGCCGCGACTATACGCGTAGTTTAACACGCATTCAAAATCGCTGTTCTCTGAATCAGTGATTGACTGTGCGTCTCTCAAACGTTCCCCGGATTATCCTGGAAAAGAAAATCGCTGTTCATCTACGGATAAGCATGCGGACGCAACGATCCACCATCCGGGAATTCAGGTCCGATCGAGTTTGGCCGGAACGGGCACAATGAGCGTACAGGATATCGAGCAGAGCCGGCCACGGCTCGCAGGAAATTTATGGTACGTCGCGAGATCCGCCTTGGCGTGCAATAAGATAGCGAGTTTGCGTGCCGGCCACGAGGATGGCGTAGGTGTAAGTTTATGCGGGTCGCACGGCCCCCTCGTTTCCTCCATAATTCCACCCGATCGCGAAACTATCCCGCGTGTGTACATCTGTCTGTGTGTGTGTGTCTATATTTTCGTGTGAATGTGTATCCCTCCCTTGTCCGTGTGTCAGTGTGCATCCGAGGCGTGTACCTGCCGCTGAAATATCGTCACGAGTGTCCGGCCTGTGGCCGTGTTTCAGGT